AAGGTGGCAGAGCAGAGCTCTGGCCTGAACTATGACCATTAAGGTCACTGTCACTCACAATCCCTTTCCTGATGCTCCTGAGCTGCTTGGGGGAGTGATCCCAACACTCTGGAAGGGAAGGTGTGACTGCCTTGCTACCTGTCACTATTTCCAACCAAAAGATCAGAAGAGTATATGAGATGTCACTGTTAAAGTTTCCAAATGAAAAAAAAAAAATCTCTCAGGAGATGAGAATCTGTTTCTGATGTAAAATGTCTTTTTTTTTTTTTTTCCTGCTGGAATTACTTCTGACTTGTGAATGAAAATGAGAAGTTTTATGGTGTTGCTGTTTCATGTACTTAAATTCTGATATGACAGACTATACTATCGCTACAGGAAGTAAATTAAATCCTCATCAAAGTGTTATGCAGAGCCTCTGGGCTGGACTATGCAGGGCATAGTGCATAAATTGTATCGCTTGGCCCAAGGCACTATAAATCATCTACACTTCTAGGTACAATTTCCTCTGTGTTTTCCCCAGCTCCAGTGTGCAAATAAGGAAGATGAGCAGAAAGTTACTGGTTTATTCAGCTTTGGCCTCAAGACTCAAACCAGCAGGTGATTAGAAGTTACAAGGAATTTTACAAGTAAATTTTGAGCTCATTCCGATGGTTATCCGGTTTCTGAGCGCTTAAGGTGTATCCAAATCAGATTTTCAGTGCTTAGGAATGTGTTGAAAATGAAAGTTGCAGTTCTCTAAAACTTGTTTGCAGATGTGAGATCATCAGGGGAAAAGTTTTGTACCGGATTTCAGCACAGATGTGGCCACAGGTGCCATGTTAGGGGTAAAACAGGGCACAAACTGCACCATCCAAACCTCTGCTCATCCCACAGCACAACCACAAAACCCATGAGTGGGGATTAAGTGCACAGCAACTGCTGCTTGTTGCATCTCTGCAATGGGATATTAGCATAGACTTCTAAATGATGTTTATATTCTCTTCCAAGCTGCAGTAGAAGTACGTAGATTAAACTACATCTAAGACCATATATACAAATATTGGGGATGTCTTGGTGGCTGTAAATTCATAGGGTCACATATTGATCTTTTGATTTAGTTATATAGTGTCTTATTGAGTAAGTGCCACAGTGAGAAGTTAAACTTCTAAACTACTGTCTTTATTAATAAGGGTATCTGGGTGTCAACTGGCAAATGGAACTGTGTTGTTAAACCTTTTTTTCCCATTTTTTTTATCCAGAGAAGGAGTGCTGAGTTGCAATAAAATACTAAGTTTCTCAAAATAAAAAAGGAAAAAAAAAAAGGACAACCTCCTCATCTCTTCCCACAAAGTAAACATTAACCATAAAAGGAAGACCTTTTAGTGCAAATCTATTTCTTCAGTAAAAAATAAAATCTGTTCTAATGGTTTAGAGGAAAACCATAGGGCCATTAATATGTTCAGGTATTCATACAGAGCAGTTTTTTTCTACTAAATCTGGGCAATTACCCTCCCTTGTGATACATCTAATTGATGTTACATTTACAGTAATAAACACCAAGTACACATTTGACTTATATTGCACTGATATTTAGAAACTATACCAAGGTGCTGTGCCTGAAGGTTTACTGGCAGCAGTAAACATACAACAGACACGCAGGGGAAAGAAAATAATAATCCATTCCTGGTGAACTTTACTTTCCTGCAGTGTTCAGCTCCCAGGACCTGCTCAGTGCTCTGTGCTGCTTCAGCTGTGATGTGTTAAACTGTTGTGTCCATGGCTGAGGAATTACCACAAAGACACTGTCCAGACTGCTCTGGTTTCTGTAAGTGCTAAACCATAATAATCTGGAGGGTCAGGGACCACAGGTTATGCCCTCAGAGGTGTCCATACAGCCTAAATTAGAATTAAGAGAAAGGCCTTCATAACAGTTGCACAGGTCTCCTCCCAGGCAACCAGCAGAAGGACAAGAGGGCTCGGTCTTAAGCTGTGCTGGGGGAAGTTTAGGTTGGATATCAGGAAGAAATTTTTTCCAGATGGAGTGATCAGACACTGGAATGGGCTGCCCAGGGAGGGGGTTGGTTCACCATCCCTGGAGGTGTTTAAGGTGAGATTGGATGTGGCATCAGTGCCATAGTCTGGGAACCACAGTGGGGTTGGATCAAGGGTTGGACTTCATGATCTCAGAGGTCTTTTCCAGCCTGGTTGGTTCTGATTCTGTGATTCTGTGATTCCATATGGATTTAAAATGCAAGGTGTGGTGCTGTCTTTCTGTACTGAGAGGTTTTTGTAATTGTTTGTGGAGTGCTTGTGGGTCTGTTACATCAAACTGCAGGATTGCCAGGCTTGAGCTGCAGTTATGGTTTATTAGCTGATAACTGTCCAATTATTAGAATACAGATAATGAAGGAGAGAAATGGCTCTGTGTTTTTATCACTTCATGTAATTACACAACTTTCTGGGGCATGTTGCTTTCCCTAAATGGCTGTAAAGCTGAAAAGACATACTTTATTGCTTGTAGCAGGAATTATTCCCCTAAACATTATTTTGAAGGAGTCAATACACCACAGAATTACTGAACCTTCAGAGTACTGAGATTGAACCATGGCCAAGCATTCTCCTGAGTGCCTCCAAAGGATAAACTAAGAAGAGAACAAGAATCTAGTTGTTGTAAATATGAAGTAGCTGTTTAATTTAGTGAGCACTGAGCACTTTAAGCATGTGTGTAGTCCTACTGTTTTAAGAGAGTAATCCCTCACACATAATTACTGCTGGTCCTAATACTGCTTTGACTAGTTCCTTAACAACTCTAGGATGATTTTTTTTTTCAGGTTCTTAGTGTATCTGAACGTGTCAGTTGTTCCTGGTTTTGGTCTTTAGGCCTGTCTTTTTGTTGAAATCACCACAAAAAAACACCTGTGTCTTGGGGGAAGGCTGAGATAGTAAACCCCTTGAATCCTTCAGTCTTCTCTGTTGCCTCATATTTGCTCTCTTTTCCTTTAAATAATCTCTGTCTTTGCCATCTTCTCACAGTACTGAAAGAACTTTTATCTCTGATATTCCTTGCCAGCAATAACTTGCTCATAACCTTCATTTTTCTGATTGTGTACCTGTCTAGATGTTTCATACCTTCCCATTCCTCCTTTATGCTCTGTTCTTTTTAGATTTGTAAAGCTCTTTAAAGAGTCATGCCGAGTGTTTTTCCTTTGTGGTAGATTCTTTTGCCTTCGTGTTTTTAACAGCTGCCAATTCTTCTGCACTTCTTTTTCCCTCAGAACATTTTCCTCAAAAAATCCAACCCACTAACCCTTGGAATCTGTTGAGTTTCACTGTTCTCGTTGCACTGCTCTTTCCAATAGAGAACTCAGACAATTTCTTGATTCCCCTCCCAAATTCCTTTCTACTTTGGAATTCTTACTCACCTTCTCCTTATGAGTTAGAATCAAAGTCATGGTACCAGGAACTTTCTCTGCCATCTGGACAAATGACTCTGTCCCTGAAACATAGCAAATGCCTTCTGCTCAGCCTGCATTTCCCAAACTTTCTTCAAGCCATAGTTTGGTAATAAAATCTGGCTTTACAATTTTGTCCTTCAGATTTACTTGTTAACTCTAATTAGGCTTGATTTTCCTCTTTATGTACCGGTAACTTGCAGATTCCAGACCCTTTCCATGATATTCTTTAACTTTTTGGAGAAAGAGGAAATGCTTAAGGCTGGATTTACAAAGAATGAGTCATCTTTCACTAGGTGTTCTTACAATTAAGCAGACAAGACAACCTCAAAGCAAAGAGAGTCAATATTATTGTCATCCCTATTTCATAAAGGGGACTTGAAACTCAGTGATTGTCCAAAGGTCATTCTTGATATCTGTGAAGGATTTGAGAATTACATTAAATCTTCTTAAATCTAGTCCAGTATCTAAGTGACAAGTAGTTTTTTCTTGTATTAACCTAGTTCTAATTCACTTTTTTACAGTTTATCCACTTTTGATAAAATTTTATGAATAGCCTCACATTTAGGGGGTTTTAAGCCTTCATGAGGAATAAATTGCCTTCTTTAAGAGTTTCTTTGGAAAGACAGATTATGGGTAGAAAGATAAAAATGTGGGTGTGAGATTTAAGTGAATCAGAAATGATATTTCTGCTTCAAATGTTTATATAGCTGACTTACCTACCTACAGGATTTATATATATATATGTATATATGTATGTATGAATGGATGTACTCAATCTTATGTGCTTGAATGGAGCCTGACTTATTTGGAATGTTGGTGGATGTGATAAAACTATTGAACCTATTTTCTAGACCCCACGAAATTAGTCCCTATAGGGACTCAGCTGTTCATAAGTAATAATGTCCATAATAAACACATGAAGAACTGCCCAGAGGATCAAACCCGACATTTGATTCCCAAGCAGCACTGAATTTTGCTCATCCAACTACCAAAATGTGGATAATTAAAAAACTAATTTCCTCTGCCAATATTCAGAACTAAACAGCTGCAGAGATGGGAAAGAAGGCCAGAAAAGAAAGGAGATGTTCATAATAGCTGGAGACTGATAGCAGTGGCCAAAACAAATCAAAGAAACGTGTCAGTGTTTCTGCTGCTTAAAATGCGCTGGGTTTATTCTTCTGTGGTAGAATTTCTGCTGAATATTGTCTGACAAACGTGCCTTTGGCTTGTTTAATTGCATTTTAGTATTTGTCATGCAGTTTGGGAATGGCAGCTATAGGCTAAGACCTTTTTTTTGCCTGGCAACACACCAGCTGAAAGCAAAGGGATGTTTAACAAGGAGGTTAAAATGACACAGGGATAAAATGAGCAGCACGTAGATTCAGACATGCATCTGTGAATTGTCACCCTGCTCTGGATAGCAGGTGTCTCCCAGCCCTTTAAGGCAGCTGTATAGAACATTGTATTTTACAAGTTAAACATGAGATCCTCAATTTGGGACTGTTAATATCTGTGTTGGAACCAGGTAACAAAGGTAAGAAACTATATTCTTCCTTTCTTCTTTTGCAGGAATGGTCATTTTTCCTCTCCAAAGCAAGGTTTCCTCCACGCTGGTTTAGCTGTACCTGGTGAGTAAAAAATCCTTACTCCAGCCTTTTTTTATCCCTCTTCTCCCCTACAGGGAAATGAAGTTCAACTGAAGACTAGAAGGAGAAAAAGAGCTGTAGTTTTTTGACAGTTTCATGCTGTGGAAGTTTATATCAGGAAAACTGAAGCTTTGCAAGCATGGCATTTATTCAGGGTTTTTTTTTGTATAATTCCCAGGGTGAAATACAGTAAAACATGTAAGCTGAGCAATTAAATTAATGAATAGTGTCACTGTTGTTTTAGTAATTTAATATAAGATGTAGAGGGGGTGATGACTGTGGAATGATTCATTTCTGATGCACCCCCACAAATTAGCATTCCTTGGGCTTGCTTTTGTGTGTGTAATTTTGCACTTCAGCAGAGAATTATAAACTGCAATTGATTCTCAACCAAAAATACAAAGGCTCAGTGGCCTCCTCACTGCATGGAAGAACTGTGCTAAGAAATTTGCTTCCACTTGATGCCTTTTAGGGGACAGATGATCAAGGGTTCAATATTCTCAATGACATTTAAATGATGGATGTAGCAAGAGTGCAGTAGGTCCAGCAAGCCTGCTTAGGCTTCTGCAGTTTGGAGTGGCAATGCTTAAAGAAATGAGGTTAGACTGAAACGGCGTGGTTGAAGGTCAGGAAAGCTTCCAATATTGTAGAATAACATACCTGGATCCTTCACATGAAGCAGGCTCTGATTAGAGCTTGCTAAAGAGTGGGGCCCACCAACTGTGGGGTTTTTCTCAACCCCAGCCCCACAGACTTGTGTGCTGAGTGCTGGGTTGCTCTAGAAAATCACACTCTGGACTCCTTTCCTGCAAATAACAGCTCCATCTTTTGTGAAATACTTGCAGCTAAACCCTTCTCTCACCATGTGGGAGGGCAGGATGTTAAACTTCTGCTTCCTTTGGCCATTCACTAGACCAAAGTGCACCAAAAAATGTAATAAGTCATATGAGACACTTTTCCTGGTCTCCCTTTGTGCCTCACACGTAGGGCCACAATCTTCTTGGCTCACTTGCTGTCCCAGGTCCTCCTCCTCCTGGCCACAGGGTCAGGAGGACATCCCAGGGATTTTGTAGCCTGGTGGCTGAGGGAGTCCAGTGAAGCTGGATGGGTCCCTTTCCACTGGTGAGGGCAATGGTTCTCCACTCTCGGTCCTGCAGAGGAGCTACTAAGCTACTGTGCAATTTGGGCACTGGCACCAGGGGTTGGAACCATCTCCCTAATCTTTGGTGCTTCTGAGCAAGTGTTCACTTAACATTTACAGAGTTTGCAGTGCAATGTATTGGAACTGAATTAGTTTTGAGGGACTAGATTTATCTTGTAAATACTTGGATGTTTAATGTGTGCAGTTCACATCCTGCTGCAGATTAACTGTCACCAGTTCCCACATCAGCTCAGATGTATGTCCAACAGTCTCTGCTGTGACTGCAGCATGGATATACTGCACTTTCCAAGGGGAAAAACAGTGCTCCCCTCCTCAGCGGGGTTGCAGTAAAGTAAGAAACACTGTTAGGTCTATTGGAACACTAGCAAAGGGTGATTAGATGGATCCCAGCATAATATCATATAATATTTAGGAATCTCAATTCCTAGGAGTCTTATCTTGTTTCAAACACCAAAGGCTATCCCAGGTCAGGGATGGACTGACCTGGTCAGGTCATATGTGGGTAAGGGGGAGACACTGGAATAAATGCACTGGGATAAAAGCTGTACAGCTGCACTCCAGACCTTTTGGCTATAGGGCATAAAACTTGCCCCCATTTTGCCACAGGTTGCACGTTTATTTTCAGATCAGAAATCGAGGAATATTAAAATGGCATGCAGCAGTATTCATAACTTCCTAAGGATGTGTTGAACATATGAGGTTCTCTTGTCTTTGGCTTTTGTAATTTTGTTTTTTGCTCTCTGCCTTTGGAGTATCTGCAGGGCTTTCTTGCATTTGCAGGGAATTTACATTTTAAGTTGCTTGTTATGTGCTCTCTTTCCGCTGCTCTAATTTCTCAATGTCATTTGGATTATTAGCATTTTTTTTGGTACAAGTCAGGGTACTTTGGTCATTTCTAGCTGCATAGCTTTCATTTTCCCCAAAAATCTATTAACTTTCCAATATGCTTTAGTATCTCTTTCTATAGGCAGATGTTTAATTTTCAGTTGTTCCTTTCACTTGCAGACTAGCTTGTTTTATCTAATTATTTCTCCTTTTAAAACTTTATAATTAGAGGGAAATGGGAAGACACATTCTATCTGAATTTTTCACATTTATGAAGTTTGTTTTAATTGACACAGTTCTTCATTGAAAAACACATGGTTCATTTCCAGCTCTTGCTTTTCTCCAAGGTGGGCTGGAGGGGATGGAGACCATCCCCTGTCACCAACAGAAGCTGGGCCTCCTACAGGGAGCCCTGCACAGCACCAGCCTCCAGCTCTTTCATCTTCTTTGGCTTCTCTAATTTGAGTTTCTGTGTAATGTTTATTCCTGACCCCCATTGCTCACAGGCACTTTGATCCTTGCAAAACCTCTCGAGGAAAAAAAAAAAACCCACAATACATAGAACACCATCACAGTCACTGTCTCTGTTTCTTAATGACATTGAAGAGCTTTTCTAAAATTAAACAAGTGTCTTGCACAATTTAGTTGGTTCTAGGCAAGGCTTCAGAAGATAAGAGTTTCTGTCAGACGCTGTTGGCTTGTAGCCACATGTTTAGTTGATGTTGCCTTCTTGCCTTTCTCTGTCTGCTTGCTTAGAATTTCATTTACATGAAACATGGCACGTGATTTTATGACAAATAACCGCAGGAATTTCAGTGCTGTCTCCCTTTACCCAAGTAAGCACTAATACAAATTCCAAGGTGTGGGCATTACGGAGGTTGGTGTCTCCTCAGCTGGGTGTGGGTCTCTGTGACTGCTGATTGGGCTCTGATGAAATGCTTGTGGTTGCACCTTTGGAAATGAGTCCTATTTTGGGGAAAATTTCGAGCATAGGCTGAACCAAGTGGACTTTTTGTTTAGTGTTTCAAAATGGGGCTGTTAATGGTGGTCTGGAGATGTTCACTGTCACACTCAGTGGATTGCACAAACTTAGGGAAGAAAATGCTCTTTCTGTTGGAGAAAGAGAGGCAAGGAAAATTTGAAGACACATCAAGTCTTTGTTCTGAAAAATTCAGATTTATGCCCCTTATGAACATAGCTTTTACACTGACTATTTCTCTTCTACTGAATTTAATGGATCTCCCCAGTATGGTTAAAAGAGCATCAAATATTTTATAGCCACAAACAGCAGCTGATTCTATGCACAGGCTTCCATTTGTGGTTGGACCATCACTAATATATATTTGCTATTTATTTGTTGGATTTCAGCAAAAGTCAGTCTGTAGGAATGGCTTTTATTACCTCCAGCAGTTTACAGCTCTATAATTTTTCCTTACATGCTCATTCAATAGAATACCTGTTTCCATTACAAATGAGAAAGAGGCTTATATAAGGGTTTTTGTGCCCTAAATTTCATTTTCAGTAAGTCCTAGAGCTATAGAGATTGTTAGATACCATAGTTAGATAACAATTCCTGCTTGATTTTCCACTGCCTTTGGGGATACCTGCGTTGTATCCACGATCACTGGTCACTGCCAAGGGAGAAGACAGCTAATACAATATATCACACAGGTATATAACTGCCTAGGACACACAGGCATTCTAAAGTTTGGGTTTGTTTCATTAATTGGGTCTCTGCCTTCCTAATTTGAGCTTCTAACTCAAATCCCAGACGATACTGAAGAATTATTTCCTCTATTAAAAACAGAGAGCCCGCTAATATCCTTTATAGTGCAGATGTTATCTCTCCTCAGGGCAGCTGCTCAGCAGTGCTGGTGATGCTGCCCCAGATGCAGCTTTCTAGCAACCCCTCCTGTAAAGTCTTGGGCTGAAGCTCTTGGCTAGAACCTCTTTTCATCTGGCTTTTCTTTACTCTGTCACCAGACCATGCATTAAAAGCCGGCTCATTCCCTTTGCCTTCAGGAACGCTGGCAGGGGCGGGTATCACCTGTGAGGTCTGATTTTTCATTATGAATTCATCTTAATGTGCGGTTTTGCCCTTTTCCTTTTCTTTTTTTTTTTTTTTTTTTTTTTTATTTTCAGGGAGTCTGACAGGACAAGAGCATATGGTCAGTTTGTACAAACAGCCAGAGATTTCACCAGGAAACACACAGAGAAAGAGAAAATAATAAACACAAAGGATTCTCTTACTCTATTAATATGCATGACAGGAGCTGTTTCCTGAGGCATGTCTTTACTTTAATAGAGTAATTTAGAGTATTTTTGAAAACACATGCAATTAGCATTGATTTTTTTTTTCACCATGACATTACTTAAGGTACCTAAATGAGAGCCTGAGATGCAGTTTTCTTGTATTTGAGACATTAGTGCAACATATAAACTTCACTTTCTCAGGTGTTTGATGCTTCTTTTCAAGTTCACATGAACATCTCCTTTCTCTCACTGTACCACAGTGGTGATTAATGTATTTTCTGAAAGAGTGAAATTCCTACAAATCCTTTTTATTTCTGCTACTTTAATTGGGTATCAATGCCTTGTTGTGCTGTGCTTTACACAGGTGCACATTTTCGAATTGCTCAGAGTTGGCTTTCATGTGACCAATTAGCCAAATTCTCAGAGGTTTGCAATCCGTTGTGTCTGGAGTTTGGATCTCAGGAAGCTGTTTTTCTCTGGCTACTTTCCAGAACACAACAGCAGACCACAAGGGCACATTCCCCCGACCTGTCTGATTTGTGTCTCTGTTTTTAATTCAGTGATGTTCCCTCCTGGAGCCACTCTCTGGGGTTTCTCCCCAGCAAAGGGTGCTGGGCTGTGCCTTCTCCCTACAGACCTACAACCCCCATTTCAGATGTAATGCAACCATCTCTGCTTTCCAGATGGTTCTGCAGAAGTGACCCCAAATAACTTTCAGATTGAACAGTGTAGGTCCCACACT